CTAAAAAGAAAAAGTTCTACCTTTTCCTTTTAAACTTAAACCTGTAATTCTTGAAGACATGGAAACACTGAACTTAGCCTCCAAACCAAAATGCCAAAAGTGTAACAAAACTTGTGATCAAAGTTTTTTTCAACACAGTTAAATCTTTTTACACTAAAGAGAGGATTTTTCAATTGGAGTTTTTTTAAAAGTTGCCAATATCTATTTTTTTTTAATCTTTCTTTTGGTGAGGAAGCAACACAAGAGATGGTTGAACTTGAAATGCCTGGTTTTACATAGAAAATATATATATAGGCGCCTGGGTGGCTCAGATGGTTAAGCGTCTGCCTTCGGCTCAGGTCATGATCCCAGGGTCCTGGGATCGAGCCCCACATAGGGCTCTTGGCTCAGCGGGGAGCCTGCTTCTCCCTCTCCCTCTGCCTCTCTCCCTGCTCATGCTCTCTCTTTCTCTCTGTATCTGTGTCTCAAATGAATAAATCTTAAAAAAAAAAAGAAAATATATATAAATTTTGATAACATTTTAGTTATTCAGAGTGGTGACTATCAAATTCTATTAAAATCTCATCAAGTGGGAAATCTTAAAACACTTATTATGCTCCACAATTATTGTAAACAGAACAATTTAAAAGAGAGGAGGAGATAATGACATTAACTTCTCAACTTAAAGCAATCCTCTGTGGCATGATTTTAAAATATTCTCTTGGTCTGAAATTTATGTAAATTGAATTAATCTATCATTGGTTATTACCAGCCTAGCTACATTTAAAAAAAACAACAACACAGTTCTCTGTAACATCTAGTTCTTAAAAACACTGTGTTTTAATTAGACCTGGGACATTATTAAACAAGCTATAAATATGTACAGTATTTTATTTGGTATACCCAGATGTCTAAAAATCAACAAAAATGCCCTCAGAGTTCTTTCTTCAAAAATTCTTTAATAAAGGCTTTCATTCAAAGTTTTAATGTAATCTAAAGTAAATACCCTTCTCAAATTCCATTATGTAAATACAAAAGAAATGGTCACTAATAACCAGAGAATAATCATTAGTCAGAAATAACCAATTCTTCATTTTATGTATGTCCATGGCCACACAAAAAAATTCATGGCAAAGCTTGGACAAAACTTAGATCACAAGTATTTTATACAGATTATCCCATTTAATTCTCACCACAACAATGGATAGTTTAGGTACTATCTACTCCATTTTATATACAGGGAAGGTCATAGGATTAGACTAGTAATTCAGTCAGGTAAGGATTTAAATCAAGCCAGTCTGATTCCAGAAACCATACTACTACCCCTAATCCTAAATTTTAAGAATAAGTGAATATTTTCCATTCATAAAGAAAATTCCAAAAATGCTCTAACAAGTACCACACTTTAAGAATAACAAAATAAGAAACAACAAGTATAGGTGAGGATGTGGACAAAAAGGAACCCTCTTGCACTACTGGTGAGAATTAAAACTGGTGCAGCCACTCTGAAAAACTGTATGGAGGGTCCTCAAAAAGTTAAAAATAGAACTACCCTACAATTCAGTAATCACACTACTGGGTATTTACCCAAAGAACACAAAAATACTAATTCAGAGGGATACATGCATCCCTATGTTTATAGTAGCATTATTTATAATAGCCAAATTATGGAAGCAGCCCAAGTGTCCACTGATAGATGAATGGATAAAGAAGAGGTGGTATATATGTACAATGGAATACTACTCAGCCATAAAAAAGAATGAAATCTTGTCATTTGCAATGACATGGCTGGAGCTAGAGAATATTATGCTCAGTGAAATAAGTCTGTCAGAGAAAGACAAATACCATATGATTTCAGTCATCTGTGGAATTGAAGAAACAAAACAATCGAGCAAAGGGACAAAGAGAGAGAGAGAGAGAGAGACAAATCAAGAAACAGACTCTTAACTACAGAGAACAAACCGATGGTTACCAGAGGGGAGGTGGGTGGAGGATGGGTGAAATAGGTGATGGGGATTAAGGAGGGCACTTGTGATGAGCACCAGGTGATGTATGGAAGTTCTAAGTCACTATATTGTATGCCTGAAAATAATATAACATTCTATGTTAACTACACTGGAATTAAAATACAAAATAATTTTTTTTAAAAAAGTAAATTAAGTGAAAAAATTTTTAAAAAGAATAACAAAATAAAGCATGAAGGTTATAATTTGGAATTTCCTTCCTCTAAAGTAAGTCCTTTTCCCAAGCCCAGTTCAAACACCAACTTCTCCCTAAAGCCTTCTCGTATCATTCAACTGAGATTAATCTTTTTTTGAACTCTTGGCAATTGCTCTACACTGCCCATAGGCAGAAAGTGCTAGCTGTCTTTTACTATCCATTCTCTTCTTTCTTAGTAACAGAAACCCAATTTTTAGCTCTTAGCAAATTGCCACATGTCCCAACCTCTCCATTGGCTAAGTATGATTGTATGAGTAAGTTCTGCAATATTGTTGCAGGTATACGGTTGGAATTTCAGGAGTGCTATTTAAAGAAAGCAAACTTAGATTTTAGGAGAGCTCCTCTGTGCTTTCCTAAAGTAAAGACTTTACTGTCCAGGTATCTTTTTGGCTGGAGCTCCAGCAGCTGTCTCGGACACTGAGGCAAGCTTGAGGAAGGAAAGTACATGCTGTGGAGGATGGAAGAAAGACAGGCGTATCTGTCCACAATGAGACCATGAAGCCACCATACATGGTAGCCTCCTTCCAGGTTTTAGAATACAGAAAAATAAACCTTCATCCTGTGTATGCCACAATTATTATTTTTTATCTTCAATAATCTGAACCTAATTCTAACTGGTTTAGCCCAGACTCATACACAGTCCATAATCTAAGGTTTGTTGTAACTATGATGAAGGGGGTGGGGGTGGGGGAGAAAGAGAATTACTATTTCTTATAAGCCTGGAACAAAACATCTCCAATGATCGTTTTCATTCTCAACCCTTCCCAGTAATTTCCAACTTTGGAACAGAAAAAGGAGGAAACAGAAGAGGAAGGAAAAATGGAAAATGACACTTCTGCATCTCTGCCAGTTCCCCTCCCCTCTCTTCTACTAGCTAAGTCCTACCATACTTGAAGGCCCAGCTCAGCGAAATTGTTTCTGTCTGACTTTTGAATCGAGTGCCTATCAACCTGTGTGCCATCTGACAATCATACGTCATCTAGTAACATCTTTTGTGTGACTTGTTAACTTTTACATTGTATTTCTTATTCTGTGTGTCGTCTCCACAACACAGTGGGACCCACATTCGATTCCTTGCATCCTCCACACTATTAGAAAACTACCTCTGGGTGGTAGGAGATCAATACTTTCAATACTTGAGTTAAGGTCAGAAAAAAAGATGAAAAGAGGAAAAAGAGCAGGAGACTAAGGAGTGAGAATGCACTTCTTAGAAGCGAAAGAGCATAACAAAAATCCTAAAGGGTCCCTAGAACAAGTTTTACTTCCCTGGACCTTAGAAAGAATTGGGCCTGGGAGAACAAATATTTTGATGTGTTCACTGTTCATAGAATCAGTGCAAAATTCAAACGATACTTAGCGAGCTTATCCTCCAACTAAGGGACAGTGCATTTTGCTTCAGTTACTGAGACAATTGCCTCAAACTTATTTTCTCAATAACCGTAGTCATTTTAAAGAGTAGGAGATCTAGCTTAGAAACCATGTTTTGATAGTAGAGGTATAGGATTCCAAACCATATTTTAAAAAAACTGGCTTCCAGCAAGATCATATTTTACAGATATTATTTTGTCAATTGTGACAACACATGGAAAATAACACTTAGATAAATGAAAAAACGATTTCACAAAATATTACTGAGTTTAAAATAAGTAGCTCAAGAGCTCATTTTCATTAAATAGACACTATTAGCTCTCTTCTAAAACCCAATAATAATACAGCATTGGGAATAACATTACTACTTCTTTAAAAATAAGATATACTCTAAGCACGTATTTTGTAGAAGCTACATCATTTAAAAGGTCTATAACATTGGGACCTTAAAAGCTGTGTAGCACTACATGGAATTAACGCAGTGTAACAATACATTTAAAAGCTTCGGCTACATTCAAATACATACAATCATAAGTGACATAAAGAGCATTTTAAACAGAAATAATTAATATTTGCCTAGATTCATAAACTACTTTATACCCCACTGATTTTATTCTCAATTATCACTGTACTTCATACCTGTCAATGAATTATGTACCTAAAAATATAATATTCTAATTTATTTTCAGGAATTTGGCAAAGTTTTAGGGAGGATATAAATAAAAATACTCAACTAACAGAAAACTCAGTTTCTTTCTCATTCTTTCATAACACAAACCAAGTCTTTGTTACATTATTAAAAAATGATCAAAAATGCTAAAATAGTATTATCCTTATAATTATATTGGCTCTACTTATGAACACTGAACTAGTTTTTAACCTTTATACAATTTATAGTTCACATGTCAAAAAAATATTGCATTTTCTTGCAAATCACTCAATTATTTCCTCATTTTAAATGTTTTCCACACAGATTTCTCAGAAGTATCCATGCCAGTAGCTTCTTTGACAGTAAAATGTACAAAATAAATGACATGTCAACAAGTAAATTAGCATTCCCTTTCTGACCAGCTGGGTCATGTTTCCTTTTCAGAATCCTCAGTCCCATGATACAAAATAATAATAATCTAAAAGACCTCATTAAATGATCAATATATTGACATAACTTCTATAAGGAGACACACAGTGTTTTAATTGATTCCTTGAATCCATTAAATGGAATATTAAACCCCAAGCCTCCAAATTATATTGTAAAAGAACATTTCCTTTATTTATCAACTAATTTTTCAGGGTATGGTTAATGGCACATAAAAAGATTCAAGAACTTTTATACTTAACTAAATGGTAAAAGAAGTCCAATTTTCACTAAATCTTTCATACAAACAACATCACAACCAAAGTTATAATAGACAAGTTAAACCATGTTTACTTACCAAAAAACTTCCAAAGGCTGAATTAAATATTGCAGCTGCCTATAAAGAAAATAAATGGGGGAAAAAAACTCACTGAAAGTAAATAGAAAAAGGAAAAGCAAAGACTATCATTCTCCCAACCCCCACTATTCAAAACCTTAAAACATTGACTCTATAAAGCTGAGTTAGTCACTGCTTACAAAAATCGCCAGTGGCCTGTACTTTACTAAGATAGATGAGCTGCAGCTTAGGAATTCATAAATAATGGGTCTCAAAAGCAAGCAGAAAAGGCTTGCCATGAGATGTTTTGAACCTATATGACAGTCCCAAAGAATCATCACCAATAGTAAATTGAAACCTTGTTGTTATTGATTTTGTGACGAGACTTAAAAAAGAGGTGGCTATATTCATCAGAAAAATTTTTTTCTTTTTACCGTGAAAAGAAAAACCAGAATTGTAAAGCAAACATTAAGCACTCTGCATCAGGGAGCTTTATGAGCTACACCCACAAAGTGAGATCTGTTGTTCCCATACAACACACATTAGAATATGAACAATGCTGCTAAGACCATGGAAGTTACTGCTCTACCAACAATTCTAAAGTAGAAACAAGCAAGAAAAACTTCCACTTGGTGTTCAAAATTCAAAGAAGAAATATTTGACTTTGTGCTTACCTAAGTATCCAGGGAATACATAGTAGATGTAATATATAGTTCTTAACTTTAAATCAATCACTATATTCCATGAAGCTACACCTGAATCCTGAAAGCTTCTCACATTACCCAAAAAGGATAAAAACTTGTTAACATCCAATTTGATGGGGGAAAAATGGAGAGAGAAAGAAAAAATAATAAAAGGCAAAAGGAGGGGTAGAGAAAACCTATTGACATCTCCTGTAGATCCACATCAGAATTAAATTAATCATCATGGAGATTAGCAGCCACGTTGTAGTAAGAAAAGGATGTCAGTTTAGCAAGTTTGAATAAAGTCCAAAGCCAGGCTAAGAGCTGTAGCTGAAAATGCCTTCTGCTCCAGAAGAGGATGCAATGAGAGTGCATGGGTAATGAGATCCCTGGCTCCAGAGAGCTTAGCTCTCCTATTCAAGTTCATAATTAATTCAAAGCTTTGATAATTTCATTAGATTTCTCCTTTGCTGGCCCTATCAATAAAAGATGGCACTGGACCACAGCTCCTCTGTGGCATAAACACAGGCACAGCACAGACCAGGGAAACCTTTGCCGCCTGACAGGGACAATGGCATATGGTGTTCTGTGTTGTACAGGAAGTAGTGGGGAAAAGAAAAAAAAAAGATTTAGCTAAATAAAACATTACAGATGACAATTGTAAAATATAGCAACATATTTAACCCATCTTCCTGGAATTCCATTACGGATGATTGAGGAAAAAGTTTTGTATGTGGAGAAAAATAAGTAAAACTGTATAACTAGATGAGTTGTGATAAGATCAACTGGAAACACTGCCTTCCTTCCTACAAAAAAAAAAAAAAATGCACCTTCCCCACAAACACTGTTTATTTCTAAACCCTATTTTGCGCTTAAAATGGATTGATCTCCTCTTAGTAAAGGAATGAGGTATTCCCCTTTGAGCTCTCTCTTCCAAATGTATTTCTTCCCGGTGCCTTTCACCAACCTTTTTCAAGGGAACTAATGGTTTGGGCTAGCATTTAAAAAAAACATGGATCGTTAGAAATAAAAAGACTCAGAAGTCAAAGCAAAATAAATCAACTACTATTCATCAGATCAAATCACCGTTCTCCCACTCTACCCCGTTCTCTTTTTTTAACCCAAACACAAGCAACATATTTTACGTGGACTGGCATTTTATAAAACCATAGTGATGACAGGGACAGGCTATCTCAGGTACCTGAGAATGCTGCCAGCCAACTTCTTAGTTGTTCTTCTGCCAGTGCTGATGAATGTGAACTCACTCACCTACACTTGGTGCTCCCAAGCAGAGCTCTGGCAATCATTTGTGAAATGGCTGATTAAGGTTCTGGGTACTCTCAAGAGTATCAGACACTGAACCAAGGATCTTGGGCTCAACAGTAACAAATAATTAAGCTAATAGTTGACTTAATTCTGCTTTTGCAGCATATAAGGGAATTATGTTGTCCAGAGGTTCAAAGAGTGATGATAAATATTTAGAGAGTATTTAATTGATACATAAAAAGTATGTATGTCTTCAGACTTAAGGAGGAATTTCCAGCTCCTCAGCACGTTATACAAGGCCCTCCATGAACAGGTCTCTGTCCATCTTATTTCTTGCCTCCAATTTTATATTCTGACAATACTACACTCCCTGCAATTCCTCAAACTTATTGTGCTGTTGATTACCTCTTTGTTCCCTGGCCTGGAATGCCTTTCTCCCTTCCTCTACCTAGGCAATTCCTACTCATCTTAGCAACTCCTTCCAAGAAGCTTTCGATCACACATCCTCCCACACACATGCATCTACACTTCTCAGTGGACTGAGTGTCCCCACGCCTGCTGCCCAACATCCTGAGCATACCTCTGCCATGGCACTTGTCACACTACTGAAATGACCTATCTGCATGCCTCCTTGACCCACTAGAAATTAGAAGTCTTCTGAGGAGGAATCTGATGAAGCTCATCCTAAGCACCTACATGTTTATTAACTGAATTGCCGTAATAAATAAGATTCCCAGAAATGTCCAAAGTCTCCTCTCCTCCTAAGTTATTCCATGTGTTTGGCAGAATCCAAGAATTGGCAGAAGGCTGGATCTGACACCTGGTTCCACAGGCAAGCAACAGCAATGGCAGATGAAGACTTCAGTCGCAACCCAATATGAGCATCTCTTTCACAATATCTTGTTTTACTTCCCGTAGCCTCCCTATTACAATACAGTTACATTCAGTTACCTAAATATGCTTAAATAATGTTTTAAAATTTACTACTGCTACGTAGCAATAGAGTCAGTTAAATAAAATCTAGAATTACCAAGGAATACTCTGAAGCCGGTAAAAAGAGGATGATCTGCATCTACCAATATGAAAGCTGGCTTAAAGTGAAAAAGCAAGTTTTGAAACTGTGTGTAATTCCTTTACCATGTTTTTTCCCACACCATCAGGCAGCTGGGTATCCTACAATTCAACTCAATTCTGACCCTGTCTACCTGAAACTAGTGTCAGATCCCACAGCTTAAGGGATCTGTCCCACAAGACTGTTCCCACTGTCAATCACAAAGGCCAGGTGATCATCACCTGTGCTTCCAATGGACTGCCTATAACTCAGAGGTTCCCACAACCCTGTCCTCGAGTTTGATTAATTTGCTAGAGCAGCTCACAGAACTGAGGAAACCAGTTTTATTCACTCGATTACCACTTTTATTATGAAAAGGCTCTACAGGAACAGATGGAAGAGATGCCCAGGGCAAGGTATGGAGAGAGGGCACCAGGCTTCCAGGCTCTCTACAGTGTGACACACTCTCAGCAGCTCCACATGTTCGCCAGCCCAGAAGCTCTCCCAAACAGTCCTTTTGGGGTTTTACAGAGGCTCCATTAAACAGCTATGATGGGGCGCCTGGGTGGCTCAGATGGTTAAGCTTCTGCCTTCGGCTCAGGTCATGATCCCGGGATCCTGGGATGGAGTCCCACATCGGGCTCCCGGCTCAGCGGGGAGCCTGCTTCTCCCTCTGACCCTCTCCCCTCTCATGCTGTTTCTCTCTCGCTCGCTCTCTAAAAAATAAATAAAATCTTTAAAAAAAAAACAAAAAACAGCTATGATTGATTAAATCATTGGACATTGGTGACTGAACTCTATCTCCAGCCCTTTCTCCTCCCCAGAGGTACGGAAGTTGGACTAAAAATTCTACCCCTTTAATCTCCGGTTGGTTCCCCTGGTAACCAGGCCCATCCTTAGGTGAGCTAGGGGCCTTTCCGAAAGTTGCCTAATTAACATAACAAAAGACCATTTTTATAGCTTTCCTCACTTAGGAAATTCCAAGGGTTTTAGGAGCTCTGTGCCAGAAACTGGGACAAAGACCAAATATATATTTATTATTATAAATCACAATATCACATTCCTATTGTGCAAAGAGGTACATACACGTGTATACAGACCCAGATAAGTATTAAAAAAACCCACTTTTCTGAAAGGAATCACAAAAAAAAACCCCTAATATGGTTAAATTTGTTGAAAGGGATTGTGTGGGGGTCACTTTTAATTTTCATTTTGTTCCATTTTGTTTGGCTTTTGTTTTTAATATGTTACTTTTTTAGATTTCAACAAAGGTCATCTGGGCAGGGAGATATTGAGCCATTTATAGTTTGCATTTTGAATCCCTTTGTGTTACAAATATAAGAAACATTTTACTTTAAAATAAAATTAAGATTTCAATCTCTACTTGGCATATTCAGGATCTCTCTTGTTGGTTGACAAGGTGGAGGTTGAGCACCCGCTGGAGCACACATCATAATGCTGGGGGCATAAGAAGCTACAGAATGAACAGAGGGCATCTTTCAAGAGTTTCTGTAGGATGTGAATATTTGGTTTTGAAAATAAACCCAAAATCCACCATTATTTTTGTATAAAACAAGCATGGCTATAGAGAATGAACTGAGATCAAACATGAGCCACCCAGGACAATTTGCTCTAAGGTGGGACCCTTCAGGTTATACAATCAGACTTTCTCAGGATGTTTCCTCTCTCTTGCCTTCTAGAAGCCATACCTGAGAGAGTCCACTGATTTTTAAATGTAGCATTTTGTTTGTTATTATCGTTTTTGCTAGAAACAACTTAATTACCCATTCTCTGTCTATAATGCTCCATTACGACAAGAATGTTGCCTAACTTGTACAAGATCATGTCCTCAGTGCCTAGAACAGCAGCTGGCTTGTAGTAGAACCTCAATAAATATTACTGAGTCAAACAACAAACGCATGAATACTTATGCTAACTAAATGCCCTGCACAGTAATGTTTTCATTATTAACTCAGGAATCCCATCCGTAAAGCATATACCTCGGTGTAATCACATCTGATGTATAATTAGATCAAGGCTAATTGAAAAAAGTTCATTAT